TTGGAAAGTTTCTTGGATTGCAATTAGCTGTGTATTCCTTAGTTGACAGGTTGAAACTGCTTCCTCTCCTTTGCAGCCTTCATCTTACCCCCACCCCCACAGCCTCCATCTTCCCCACCCTCCATACCCTCTTTCTCCCCTCACATCTTTCTTATAGCTTCTTTCTCCTCCCATCCAGGCTGCCCCCGCCCCACCCCCAACCTCCTGAAACCTCCATCTCCTTCTCCAAACCCTCCTGCTGCTACTTCTTTCCCTCTTCCTTGTCAACCCTGTGGAAGTTTTTTCACTGGAGCGCAGAAGATTGAGGGGTGACCTCATAGAGGTTTATAAAACCATGCGGGGCATAGATAACGTGATTAGTAAGGGTCTTTTCCTTAAGGTGGGTGAGTTCAAAACCAGGGAGCATATTTTTAAGGTGAGAGGAGAAAGATTTAAAAAGGACAAGAGAGGCAAGTTTTTTTACACAGAGAGTTGTTCATTTGTGGAATGAGCTGTCAGAGGAAGTGTTGGATGCAGGTGTAGTTACAACATTTAAAAGGCATTTGGATAAGTACATGAATAAGAAAGGTTTGGAGGGATATGGGCCAAACACAGGCAGGTGGGACTGGTTTGGTTTGGGAACATGGTCAGCGTGGGCTAGTTGGATGAAGGGTCTGTTTCCATGCTGTATGTCTCTATGATGAATAAGACAAAAGGCTGCCCTTAAAAAGCCTCCCACGTTCTGGCCAAAGCCAGCTGTCACTGCCCCTTGCATCTCCATAACACATTGCTGGAGTTCAGCTCTCGGATCTCACACCACCCCCTCTCTCAGTCCCTGGATGTGAGCTCATGGCTTCCAGTAAATGTGCTCTCCCTTGGACTGTCTCAGTGCCAGCACTGGTTTTCTTAGCTGCTCACCACTCCTCCATTTGCAGGCTGTTTCTGTCCTGCGTTTGCTCCTGATGGGCTCACCAGTGAGTGAATTTTCTGGGCGATTTTAGAATTTTCGAGGGCAAACTCGCTCGCTGTGCCCACTGTATTTTGAGCTCTGTAACATTGTGGTGCTGGAGGCACGTCTTTCAGATGCTGTGTTAAACAAAGGCCCTGTGTGTTCTCTCAAGTGAAGGTAAAGATCCCTTGGCACAATTTTGAAGAACAGGGGACTTATTCCTGGTGTCTTTGCTGATATTTATACCTCAACTGTGTCATTGTAAAGGTTATCCAGTTAGTACGAGCTTGCTGTATGCAAACTGGCTGTTGCATTTCCTACATTCCAAGAGTGACTGCTACAGAGAAATTCATTGTGATGTTACTGGTCATGAAAGGTGCTATATAAATGCAAGTTTTACTTATTCATCATATTACACATAATAGGGTTGGATAATTGAAGAGAATTAGACAAGCTCGTATCGTGTTTCATTTCCAGTTGCTGGAAGCAGCATACATTCATATGCAGGGACCCATTCTTCATTAACAACAGGAAGATGTTCAAGCCTTGCACTTCTATTGAATCACTCTGGAGCTTCGAGAGCCTACAACACCGCCTTTTGCTTCCTCCATGGCTATGCCACAGCCATTCATTGTCAACTTGTCAACCAACTGGCATCATTATCACTGTTGTGATTGTTTGTTTGAAATTTGACGTTCTTGTGGTGAGAAACTGGATGAGTTAGGACTATATTCACTGGAGTTTAGAAGAATGAAGGGGGATTCTCAGAAACCTGTAAAATTCTAACAGGACTAGACATGGTAAATGCAGAAAAGATGCTCCCGATGACCGGGGAGTCCAGAACCAGGGGGTCACAGTCTAAGGATACGGATTACGTCATGTAAGACTGAGATGAGGAGAAATTACTTCAACCAGAGATTAGTGAAATTCTCGTTAACAGAAAGTGGTTGAGGCCAAAACATTGTATGTTTTCAAGAAGGAGATAGATTTTGCTGTTAGGACTAACGTAGTAAAAGGATATGGGGAGAAAGAGGGAACAGGGAACTGAGTTGGATGATCAGCCATGATCTTATTGAATGGGGGAGCAGGATGAAAGGGCTGAATAGCCTACTCCTGCTCCAGTTTTCTATGTTAGTCATGATGATGCGGCACAAGAGGTTTGAACAATGTGTCTCCCTTCTCAACCAATATCCAGTCCAGCGATTGACAACAGGAGTGGTCATTCAACCAGGGCAGAAGCACCAATCCCTCATTGGCTGCCTGCACTTGCCAATCTAATATTCAGAACTGTTAAAATCAGTGGAATTGAATATTGGGTGGGCTGTGTAATGGGGGAGTAATAGACTTACTTCCTCACGGGAACCACTGGTTGTAAATAGGAAACCTGTCTATTTTAAACATTCTTTTAATGCATGGGCACTGAGACCAAATTAATCCTTGTCCTGAGAGCAGCAATTCCACATAAAAACAGGGATTGAACCCGTAGCCTCAGTGTCATAATCAGTGATAATAAAACTCTGGGAACCCCAGCTTTGCTTCTGGGCATTACTGACTATTGGAACAGGAGTAAGGAACGCATAGAGTGAAAAAGGCAGAGGAGGGAAGAGCGATCTTAATTGGAAGAAGGGATTTTAAGATGACTGAGTGCACATCATGACCACTTGTGATTCAGGGTTTTGGAAGAGGCTGGGCACCTTCCAATTTAATTAAGATGATGGTTATGGGCAATGGGCCTTGCTATCGTGACAGTACCGTAATAATTAATTTCATTCAGTCTTGGTTTAAATTAAGAACTGTCTCTAAATCCGTACACATTACCTTCAGGCTGACACCGCACAGCTAATGTAGGGAGCCTTTAGGGTGAAACCACATGACTGGCTTATTCCAGTCTATTCAGATTTCTTATTACCCAGAACCACAGGCTCTCAGTGGGTACTTTAGCCTCAGGAAAATGTTCCCCCACTACTGTCGCTTCTGCCATTATCCAGTAGGTCCACAGCCAGTATTTTCTATGGGTGTTTCTTTCAGTGTCCATTGATATTGAGTGTGTTCGAGTTGCGATGTGATCAGAGTGGCCGTCTTTAATGGCGGCTCTGGAATTGCCTGCATTGGGAACACATGCTCCCTTTAATTTGAAAGAATAAACTTGCAGTTTTAAACACGCCTTTTACACCCTTCGTGTGCCCTAAAGTTTTTTTACAATCAATGAAACACTGGTGAAGAATAGCCCCTCCCCCTCTTCCCCCCACGCTGTAATGTCAGGAAATGGAACGCCAAGTGGTGCACAGCAAGGTCCCATTAATGGCAAAGTGGGAATGAATTGTCTGTCAGTTTTAATGATGTGATTATAAATTAAAATACATCCATACATCACTGTGTTGGTCTGTCATGTGATACGTGTTGGGGTTGACATTAATGGTCCTGCCCAAGTTGGTTGTTAAAGACGATTTGGCAACAGTTCCTGGTGGGAAAGCCGTCCTGTCAGAACAGGCCGCTAACTTTGACGAGATTGGGTCCTGGAATGACAGGGGAATTGTGGGGTGGGGAGGGGGTTAACATGTCACTCTCTTCCCTGTTGCTTTGTCGCTCCTTTCTGCAACGTGGGTGGGGGAGATGAGCAAAGACATAGCCAGCAACTCCCATGTGGCTGGGAAGGCAGGACATCGAACTGAAACTTATGGAAAATAAGCCTCTAATAAAACGCTTTCTGAAGGAGTCCAGCATGCCCTCTGCTGCTCCGACATTCCTCAACCAACACTGCCAAGTGGTCTTGCTCTTGTTTATGGAATCTTGCTATGTGCTCAAAAGCTTTTGGCTGCAGCAAAAATATCTAAACTGCTCCCCAGATACACAGTATGCAAAGACTTTTGCCAGGAGTGTGTGAAAGCTCGATTTAAAAAGTCAAACTGTATTTTTTTTAAACTTGTCAGCAGAGTCTCTAGGGGGTTAATGGGTTTCCAGCTGCTATTAATGTGTTGCTAGTTGAACCATTGCTGTTAAAATTATTGATATAAGGATACAAAGGGCTATTATAGGCCTGACTGTCAACAGATTTTAATGGTTAACCAGGCCAACTTCCTTCAAGAACAGTTCTCTCTCTTGGAAAATAAAAACCTTTCCTCTTGTTTTTTTTCTCTAAATTTTCAAAATTTTCTTTTTAAAAATATTCTTAATCCTCTGGTACAAGATAATCAGGGTGGATTGTATTTCATTGAAATGATCCTTCCTCACTGCCTCCCATTCTCGATTTTCTTTCTCCCTGCTATTTTGGGATGGCCTGGAGGGAGAAATCAAAGCGGGGAATGGAATTCCAACACTTAGTGGTTCAGCCTTGACTTCCGGCTAAATACTGAGACTAGCAACTGTAACCGTGGAAACGCATGATTCAACCGTGGCTGCTTACAGTCACAACAGTTACACTGATTAAACAGCAGGGTTATGTGCTGTCCAGCTTTCCTGCAAACGGGCAGGCAACATTGAGGGTAAAATATGGGTGTCAACTGCTCCTCCAGTTCCTCAACTAAAGTGCAGAACATCGCTGCCAAAGGTAAGCGGAGGTCTAACAGAGGCAGTGCAGCTTGGCTAACCTTTTTAAAAACTGAGAGACAGCCTCCCAGTTGATTTCAGCTGCTCCCACTCTATTACAGACCTGAATTTCTCAATGCGATAGCCATGCAGTAGAAAGGTTAGGATGCCGGAGTAATGACTTACAGTGTTGCGAGGCGAGTGACAATGGTTTACAATTGATGGGGAATAGATTTAAAGCAGAGGATATTAATGAAAACATAAAGCATTGCTGCAAGACATGAAGAGGATGCTTTGAGAGGTGAGAGACCACATCAGGACATTCCTTCGTGCCGATCATAATCAAGACGAGGCATGGACTTGTGGCTAGGTTCAAAAACAAGGATTTTTAACAAAACGACTGAGATGCCTTGGTTCTTTTCTGGAGGGGAAGGAGGTTGGCTTGAGAGCTGCAGTGGACTGTAAAAGATTCCCTCACCTAGATCTTGTTTTTGAACCAAAGACATAATGAGTGAGTTTAACAGACACTTTCTGTTTTCTTCCACAGATAAACTGAAAGATTGCAAGATTATCTTTGTTGTTGGTGAGTACAGAATTGACTTATACTCAATAGTTCAGTGTTTTTGTAAAATTAACTGAACGACTTAACGAGAAATGCTTTCGAAAAAGTGATTCCTCACTGGTACATTACCTGGATCTTTGGAAATGGTGAGAAGGGGATTTGAGACGGTTTTTGATGGCGCAGTGGTTTCCTGTTAACACTACACAGCGGTCTAAACTGTGATATTTTCTTCAACCTGCAGTTAGTGGGGCGCAGTGTGGCCCCGCCTCGCCCAGTGGGGCGCAGTGTGGCCC